CAGTTTTATTTCTCCTTCACTGAGCTGGTCCTGGTTTTCCTTAATTGACTTGCTACGTTTAAAGTAAATGACCTTGATTGAATAAGTTACTTGACCAATGAGGTGACTGCGGCAAGGTTATCATGATGTTTATTTCTAGAAACCGTGTCGGGTGTCAGTGGTAACATTTGCTTGCAAAGTACTTGGACCTCCAGACATTTCCACCACATCTTTAACTCTCAGGCTCCTGGGTTTCTTGATGCTCAGTGTGGAAACCTACCTGGCCACTCAACCCTGCTTTCTGCACTAGGCCGGTGGCTGTGGAATCCAGATGGCTCATGGGCGCCCTCTGTCGTTAGCCCATGCCTTTGCTACTTCATTTAAGTCATATTTACTGAACAAGTGCAAGGGGTCAAAGGAATAGGAACATAAACCAGACATGCTCTTTGCAGTGAAGACAGGGTAAGATTTATATCTACGTGGCTGTGATACAAGGTGACGATCGACGAATACTTAGGAAAAGAGAGCAAAGAACATTCCATAGAATATGGGAAGGCGTCAGGCAGATGTGGCGTTTACTTGGATCTGCAGGATGCGTGAGTTTGGCTTCGTGGAGATCTAGGGCTGTGGTGGGAAAAGGCTCAGCATGCCTTCTGAGGGAGCCCTGCTGCTGTAAGATGCGGGCGAGGAAGGCGGGGTGTGAGGACGTAGGGAGCAAGAGTGTTTGTTTCAGTTTGATTCGAAGATAGGATTCGTGAGATGCAAGCATTTCCTTATACCAGAGTTGTATTTCCAGCATTGGTAGCAGTGAGTTAGCTGGCTGGCAGAGGGAAGAGAGTTGTGGAAAAAGTCACCGTGATGGTTATTGTGTGCTCGTCACAGCTGCAGGGTGGGGCATCGCTGAGAAGCAGCTGGAACCCCGATCCCACATGGTTCTCCACCACCACTGCCCAGAGTACAGAGACTCAGGGATGGGGTTGCTCCAGGCCCGCTCACCCCCTTGTTACTAAACGACCATTTCCCAGCCCCCGGTGCGGCCTGTACATGAGGAGCTGCAGGGACCCTGCTGCCTGTTCCGAGGCCAGGCTTAGGTCTCCATGCTTAACTCAGACTGAGGGGCTTCTGTGCCCGCTTTCCCAGCTCCAGCTGTGAAGAAGGACAAACCAGTGAAAAAGAAGGAAGATGTTTGCCCGTGTTGACAGCATATACATACACTTAAACATGCTGTCCCACGGAAAAACGTGCTGCTCCTGGGCTGGAATGCTAAATGCCTTACACACACCTCTGTGCAGGACACCTCTGTGGCTGAGAAGTCCACCACAGTGCTCCCCTTCTGCACCTGCTCCCAGCGCCTGTGTCTCTCTAATAGGAGACAGGCTCAGCCTCCCCCCACTGGTCCTATGGGAGAAGAAAGACTTCCAAGCAACTAAATCTAAAGAGAAGTCAGAAAAAAGTCCCAAGAGGGGCCTGTTTCCTGGACTCAGAACTAGAGCCGTTCTGTGCTACATGCTGGAAGCCCAACCTCCCTCCTGGCAGCAAGGCCCACGGCATGTTTGTATTCCAACCCTGAGTTTTAGGAAAGACTGGGAGTGGGCATCTTATGCTGTTTCTAGTTGTGGGAGTAGTGGGAGTGGAGGGACAGAGGAAGAGGGGATGGAAAGAGGAGGGCGGGCAAAGCCTGAGACCATGGGGGCCGGTCAGTCGGGTAAAGGAGAGTGAGCCGCCTGGGCTTGAGTGCTGACTGCTCCTGCCTTGCTGTCACCACTTCCAGGTCGATCAGGCATCTCAGACTCAGCATGACCCAGATGGACTTGTTCTTTTAGCCGCCCGTCGTGGCAACTCGAGCCTTCTGGTTGCTCAGGCCAGAAACCTCTGAGTCATGCTTGATGCCTCTGTGCTTGTCACGCCTCGCGTCCAGTCCTTCAGGAGGTCCCAGAGACTTCACCTTTAAAATATATCTTGAATCAGGCTCTCCGCCCACCTGTGCTACGGTTGTGCGGGTCTGAAGCATCTCTCACCTGGATGACCCTTGCAGCTACCATCTTGACTCCCTGCCTGCCTGCCTTCAGCCCATTCTAAATCTAGGAGCTGGAGTAATCTTTGAACCTGTGAGTCAGATCTCGTCATTTATCTGCTCAAAACCTGGAAATGCCTTCCCATGGCCCTCAGGGTGACGACCAGAGTGCTGGCACTGCTGGCACAGGCCTTCAAGTACCCACACTCTCTGTCCTCAGCATCCCTCCCTCCCCTGCAACCACCCAGGCTGCTTTGCCATTCCTCATCCCCACCAGTCGCCCTCCTGCCCCGTGGCCTTTGCACGCCCTCTTCCCGCGCTGCTGATCACCAGCCTGCTCTTCTGGCATGTTCCCTCCAGCTCCTCCCGACTATAATAGCTAGGTCAAGGTCAGAGGCACTTGTCTGTTTGGGCGTGACATCATGGAGATTATCCATGGCGTAGGGCAGAGATACAGAGCCTTTTATGGAAGTGTGCAGCCTTCTTGTCTATAATTAACTAAAATGAAACTGTGGTTGGTTTTTCAGACTCCTGCGGCTGCATAGAGGTGTGTGTAGTGTGCATGTAGGATTTCAGCCTAGGAGATGTTTTTCCATGGGACAGTGCATTGAAGTCAGGCTGGCTGTGATGGGTTCCCTGAGTCACCCTCTGCGAGGTTTGTAATTGTCAATTACGTTCAGATTTCAGGCATTCTTGTTTTTAGAAGATCAATGCAGATAGTGCCTGAGGAGCGTTTGGTGTAATTTATTATCTATGCCTTATTGTTTGATAATTTTGAGCCTTAATCATGTAGTGATACTTAAGATATTTAAACATATGTTGTAGCTACATTATTTTTTAGTTGACTTAGTCTTTGGATTCTCATTCTCTTCATTTTCACATCAACTTTCTAAAGATGTTGCTGTAGTTTGGTGGACAGAGGTAACACCAGGAAGTGCTGGGGGCAGAGTCGTACTTTTCGGCAGGGCGGTGAGCAGGGCAGGCCTCTCTGAGAAGGTGATGCTTGGGGAAAGACCTGGAAGGAAGAGAGCAGGTTGAAACTTAAGGAAGGAGACAGCAGTGTCACAGGCCAGTGAGCACCGCGCTGGGCATGAGAAACCTCTGCCATTGGCGCAGGGTCAGCATTGATGTGTTTGTAGTACAGGTTGGTTTGCTGAGGCTGAAGGAAGCAATAAAGGGCCTGGGTCTGGTGCCTGTTTACCAACAGGTAAAACAACAAGCACTAAAACGTAGCGAAATCCCAGATTCATTCTGAGCCGGCTTTGAGGACTTAACTTAAACCTGGGAATACAGACTCAGTGTAGACGGAGAATGTGTCTCAAAGGAAGTTATGGGAGGCACTATGGATATACATTTCCTTTCCTTTTCTTTTCTGTTTGGTTTTGTTTGGACAGAGTCTCGGTGTGCTGCCCAGGCTGCAGTGCAGTGGTACAATCTTAGCTCACTGCAGCCTCTGCCTCCAGGTTCAAGCAGTTCTCCTGCCTCAGCCTCCCAAGTAGCTAGGATTACAGGCATGCACCACCACATCTGGCTAATTTTTGTGTTTTTAGTAGAGACAGGGTTTCACCATATTGGCCAGGCTGAACTCTTGGCCTCAAGTGAACTGCCTGCCTCAGCCTTCCAAAGTGCTGGGGTTACAGACATGAGCCACTGTGCCCAACCTCTTCATTAAAAAACAAAAAATATTTTAGAGATATGAGGTCTTGCTCTTGCTGTGTCGCCCAGGCTGGAATGCAGTGGTGCAGTCATAGCCCACTGCAGCCTCCAACTCCTGGGCTCAAGATCATCCCACCTCAGCCTTCTGAGTAGCTGAGACTACAGGCATGCACCAGAGTGCCCAGGAAACTTAAAACTTTTTTTTTTTTTTTAACATATGTGGCCTTACCATGTCGCCCAGGCTGGTCTTGAGCTCCTGGCCTCAGCAATCCTCCCACATCAGCCTCCCAAAGTGCTGGGATTACAGGCATGAGCCATTGCGCCCGGCCTTGTATTTTCTATGAGGAATACATGTGGCGCAGAGGTGGGAGAAGCGCAGTGAAGCAGCAGTTTAGGTCCTGTGATTGTGACTGGCACGCAGCGATGCTACGCGTAAGGTAAGGGAAATACGCAGCTGAGTGGGTAGGAGAAAGGTTAGGCCTCTTGGGGTCTGGTGGAGGGTGATTGATTCCATCCTGTCTTTGTTCTGTATCTGTTAAATAGGTTTATAACCAATGACTGTCAGTGAAATATTTAACAAACTCCAGTTAGACAGGCAAGAGGTTGGCTTTAGTTTATAGGCCTCGCTTTCCTGACGCATGTGTCTGACTGCAGCCATTGTGGGCCAGTGTTAGAATTTTCCTTTAAACTTTGTTTGTGTCTTTTGGGGGGTGGGGGACGGAGTCTCGATCTGTCACCAGGTTGGAGTACAGTGGCACAATCTAGGCTCACTGCAACCTCCGCCGCCCGAGTTCAAGGGATTGTCGTGTCTCCGCCTCCCGAGTAGCTGGGACTACAGGCGCATGCCACCACGCCCGGCTGATTTTTGTATGGATAGTAGAGATGGGGCTTCACCATGTTAGCCAGGATGGTCTCGATCTGTTAACCTTGTGATGCATCCACCTCAGTCTCTCAAAGTGCTGGGATTACAGGTGTGAGCCACCGCACCTGGCTGAACTTTCTTTTTTTCTGACGTACTCAAGTGCTTGTTGTGAAGTGGTATGGAGACAGGGTGGCAGGAAGCATCCTGTGTGACTGGAACTCAAGATGTGCCAGTGGCAATGATAGAAGTCAGGCCACAGGGCTCCTTGGCCTTAGTCATGGGCAAGACAAGACCAGGCCACCATTCTCTTCCTTGTCCCCTCCAGTTACATTCCAAGCGCTTTAGAAAATGTATCAGTGATGCCCCAGAGTGGACCCAGGAGGGTGGCGTGTGTTCGATGGTGAGCACAGATCTGCGGAGCTCTGAATGTGAAGGAGAAACCCTAGCAGAAAAGACCGCAAATGAGTATTTCTCATCTTTCTCTCGCAGACGGCCCACCTGAGAATTCAGACCCTAAGGACTCCTATCTCATTCCAAGAAACATCATGGCCGAGCCAGACTACATGGAAGATGACAATCCTGAACTCATTAGGCCTCAGAAACTGATCAATCCTGTCAAAACCTCCCGGAACCATCAAGATCTTCACAGAGAACTGCTTATGAATCAAAAAAGGTAAAATGGTTTCTTGAGCATAGTCTTTTTTTAGGGGACTTTTAAGATAATGATAATTAATTTTAGTTGTATTTACAGAGACTTCAAAGAGTGTTTGATTTCTTGCCTTTTGTTAAAGCTTCCTTATTCCTTCTGACAGCCTAGTGCTTGTACCAGGTTATCCCTCCCTGAGGCAGAGCCCCAGCAGGCGGCAGCTGTCACTGCAGTGGCCGGCAGTGCTTCCAGACTTCTGCAGGCTTTCCAAAGTGGATGCGCATTGCAAAATCCGGATGGAAGAGGCTGGATTAAGGATAGAAGAGAATGTCCCAAGTAGAAGGGAAATACAGTCTCTGAATTTTCTCCTTCTATCAGGGCAGGTGTAGGAATCACGTAACTATATATTGTCTGATCAGGCATTTGCCAATGATGGGGAGAAGTCTCTAGAACCATATTAGACTTAATAGATAGGACACCACTCCTGTTTTTGTTTTTGAGTAGCATTTTGAATTATGACTATCATAGTTTTTGTTATTAACTATTTTGTAGGACAGGAAAACATTTACCTTCGATCTACTTTGCAGATTCCATCTGTGCCATAAATAATTTTGGATGTTGGGCTGGTGTGCTCTGCCTTTTAAGTAATTTGGGTGGGACAGGAGAGTAGGAGAAATGAGGATGCAAAGCTACTTTTCAATTTAAGAACCAGGAACCTTTGTTTAGGATTATTTTCAGATCTCGTAATGGATGGCTCGTTTTCCCACTCTGCTGAGCCCTGGTGAAAGGTCTACCGTTGAACTGAAAGATATGCAGATCAAGTTCAGCAGTAGGGTAATTTTTTGGAGGGAAGCCTGGTGAAACTTAAACAACATGTTTGACAGAGCATCAAGGGGGCATTTTTATGGCAGTTCTCTCTCCTGAGAGTACACTCCAGCTAGAACTAATGACTCGTATCCCAGGCATTCTTTGTAAATAACATTTCTCCCTCTAGAGTGTGGGAATGTGGCTTGCTCCTGTTTTATCCCCAGCATATACTAGGAAGCTGCTAGATTAATGTTTATTAAATTGAATGCAAATATGATCATTTTTAATAAGTGTTTAGCTTCCATCCGTCTTTGTCACACAATAGAAGAAAGAATACATGAATTTGGTGGTATTATGCCCAAAGCAAAAATAAGACTATCAAGTTCCTAAAATAGACCACAGAATTTGGAAGCCATCCTATCCTGTCTGGGAAGTCATGTCTTCATTTTGGCGGAAAGGTCGTCGGTTTAGTAGACTTCAAAACAGAGTAGGAGTTGTCACTCACAGACTTTTAGATTGCCTTCACCTCTTTGGTCTCAGGTCCCTTATCTGTAAAGTGTAAGGTAGGGGACTTAGCTGTTCTGTAAGAAGCATTTTAGCTCAGACTTTTTCGTCTAGGAAACCTATGACAGGGCTCCAAGTCAGAATAGAGGTCAGAGTAAAACCACCATTTGCAGAATAAGTGTCCTCTAAATTATAGGCTATAAATTATTCTGCAAAAATGTATTTAGTAATTCGGGTCATATTGATGTAACACCTACAGATTTGTGCAGTTGAGTCTGTGTCCACATTTTTTAGAGAAAGCACTTCCGTTTTGTCTTTGGCCCTTTCTTTTTCCTCCTCGTTTGCCCAGCTCAACTAACCTGAGAGAATGCCGAATTTCCCTAAAGTACTATGGTGTAGAGAGGACGTGGGCTTTGACGCTGGAGAGAAATGGTAGGAATCCTGTTTTACCAGGATTTAACTTTGCCTACCTTATGATCTTGGCCAAGGCACCCCCTGTCGAGATCTGTTTCTTCATCGATAAAGTAGGAGATAACAGTATCTTTCTTATAAAAATTAAAATAGGCTGGACACCATTGCTCAGACTTGTAATCCCAGCACTTTGGGAGGCTGAGGTGGGTGGATCATCTGAGGTCAGGAGTTTGAGACCAGTCTGGCCAACATGTGGAAACTTTGTCTCTACTAAAAATATAAAAATTAGCCAGGCTTGGTGGTGCACATCTGTAATCCCAACTACTCAGGAGGCTGAGGCAGGAGAATTGCTTGAACCTGGGAGGTGGAGGTTGCAGTGAACCAGGACCACACCACTGCACTCCAGCCTGGGTGACAGAGCAAGACTCTCTCAAAAAAAAAAAAAAAAAAAAAAAATTAAATAATAGCTTGTATGAAAATGCTTAACATAGTAAGTGATCGCTTAGTCATGTCTATATTTAACTTCCAAGGTCATAGTTTGGTAGAAACTTGTTAGAAATACAATGGTTTTAGAGTGAGACTTTCTCAGTTTCTTTTATTCATCTTTTATTTTTTATAGTCTTTAGAGACTAGGATTTTCATTTCTAAAATTTAGTGCCAAACAATAATACATATCACATCAATAATATGCATGTTTGGTTAAGGAATAACCAGTCTTGACTACTGCATGGTATTGTAATGAAAATCGGTTTCCTTTCCTCAATTTATAACAAGTCTTCCTGTATTTTGTCTCATCCAGTGCTCTTTGTAATAACCCAGCATGTGGTATCTTGAGATTACCCTCACTTACCTGAGTAGTCTTAGGGTAACTGGTTAAGGAATCATCTCAAGATCGCATAACAGTTTTTGAAATAATGTTTGGAAATAAAAACAAGTTTACATGGAGACTTGCACCTTTGCTGTGCATACTACGAATTTAGCTCAAAGCTTGGTAGCAGTTTAGACAGTTTTTCCAGTTATGTTTTAGAGATTATATGTTAAAGGCCAAGTCTCTGCTTAAGAGAACAAGCACCCACAGGTCTTCTCGGTGTGAAGCCTGTGCTCTTTCTAGCATATAATCCTCCTCCTCTTTTACCATCTTTGGGGCCAGGCTTAGTTTCAGGCTAAAAGTCTTGAAGCCACTAGGTCCGACTGTTAAAACCCTGTGTCAGGGTCTCTAGTTTCTATAGGTGTTCTCCATGGTATAAAAAGGCAGATTTCAAAAGACATTTTGTTGTTGTTGTTAAAAGATTATTATTAGAGGGATCTTTAAAAAAAATTAAGAATATTTCTGATATAATTTGGAGAGATTCTGGATTCTACAAAGAGTGCTTTTTGGAATAAATAGGTCACGTAAAAATATCCCTAAAGTTGGTTCTTTGACTTGTATATTTCCAAGCCAGTGGCTTGTAGTTCCTTGTTTTTAGCTGACATTCTTTCGGCATGCTTTGCTAGACGGATAGTTCCTCAATAAATACTTGCTGCTTTACAACATGGGAAAAGACGGGGCAGTTCTAGAGATAAAGATATGAGTATTCGTATTTGAATCCGTACAGGTAAAACTGACTAACTCAGAAATGTAAATGATGCAGGCCAAACCAGAAGATTGCAAGAGTAAAGAACAAGGGCTGAAATTCCAATGCAACTTTTCCCTGTACCCCAAGAAAAAGAATGAGGCCAGGAGATGTTTGGCTAGGTGGGCAGGCATGTTCTGTGATGGGCGGAGCCCCAGACCTTTCCTCTGGTTGAGTACTCTTCCAGGTGAGAAAATGACTTCATTTATGAATGCACAGGTACACAGAGTTCAGGTAGGTGTGGAATGATGGTAGACTCTCCCCGTCTGCCCTCGAATATGTTTAGTGGTTTATGTGAAATGTGCCTTTCAGCGTTGTCTGTATGTTTCATACTCTGGTGGTGGGAATTTTAACCATTCCAGCCTTTTTGTAGGGCGCTTTGGCAGTACTCATCAAAATATGCAATATGCAGATGCTTAGCCAGCGATTCCACATGTGTAACTCTAGCCAGCAGAAATACTTGCAGAAGAGTGCAGCTATAAATGACCACAGAGGCTCAGTGCCTCGTTGTTTTTAATAGTGACAACTGGAAACCAACTAGATGTTTGTCAATAGGGGTGTGGCAGAATTGTGGCACTCCTGTGCTATGATGTGTTGTGCAGATGCTAAGACGTTCACATAGGTATAGAAAGTGTGGAGGAACACACACCGAGCTGTTGGTAATGCTTATCTCTGGATGTAGGAATAGGTAGTGGTGGATGGGTACGAGGCCTCTACTTTGTCTAATTTTGGGGCCACTGTTCACATAGGACATTTGCAGTAGAGATGGTGCTCCGCTGATTTGTTTAATGGAGCTTTTGCTTTTTATTTAACATATGGATATATTACCTTTCTTTTTCTGCAAAGAATACTTAATGATTTTATAATTTTTTAAATTGGCTTTGCCCACCTTAGTAGTCACAGGTAGTTCCGAGCAAGAAGCCGACTTGGAGATTACTGTTGCTCTTGGGTGATACTGTCTTAAAGGGTTTGAAAGTGCTTGTTAGCTGTGTATGTCAGAATTGATTAAAGAGAACCAACTATTCTCATGCAAGGGATGGCATCATGGTTAATTACAGAATTTAGAGAAGCTTATCTCTGTCTGTCGACACTATCTCTGCTCCGTTTAGGCTTAGAGAATTATATGGGCAATGCCTGACTTTTTCCATTCAGCACAGAAAGTTAAGTAATCCACTGTGATAAAATATTAACCAAACTTCTATGACTTCTTGACTGCTATAAGTGGAGAATATTTATCATATAAGCACCATTTTCCTAAATTTTTTGTTGCTACATATTTTATCTTACTGTCACTATTGTATAAAATCTTTGATAGGGAAATGAATACTGTATAACACTGAAACCCATTCATAGGTTGCAGTAGAGTGTCAGCCAGATGTGCCATACATCAGATGTTCAGCAGCTTTTGCATAATCCAGAAGAATTTAATAATGGTTGAAGTTAATTTTGCCAGTGAAATGTAAGGAAAGAAAAATGTTTGAAATTTAAATTATTCAGATAGCTAAATTCTTTTTTTTTTTTTTTTTTTTTTTTGTATTTTTAGTAGAGACGGGGTTTCACCGTGTTGACCAGGATGGTCTCGATCTTTCGACCTTGTGATCCACCCGCCTCGGCCTCCCAAAGTACTGGGATTACAGGCTTGAGCCACCGCGCCCGGCCGATAGCTAAATTCTTAATCCTAAAATTTAAATCCCTTAATTCTGTCTGTAGTGTTATATCAAGATTTATTTATTTATTATTATTATTTTTTGAGACCGAATCTTGCTCTGTTGCCCAGGCTAGAGTGCAATAGCATGATCTTGGCTCACTACAACTTCCGCCTCCCGGGTTGAAGCAATTCTCCTGCCTCAGCCTCCGAAGTAGCTGGGATTATGGGCACCCACCACCACGCCTGGCTGATTTTTGCATTTTTAGTAGAGATAGGGTTTCATCAATTTGGCCAGGTTGATTTTGAACTCCTGACCTCATGATCTACCTGCCTTGGCGTCCCAAAGTGCTGGGATTACAGGTGTGAACCACCTTGCCTGTCGGTATATCCGGATTTCTTAATAGTCATGAAACTTGAGTATTTATTCAGATTATGTACTTGAAAACATCTTTTCCTGTGGTTAATAACACCTTTATTTTCAACAGAGCAACTTACACTGTGCTGATTAAAGATTTAATCTGTCCATATTTTTGATCCTCTTGTTCAGTCTTGATAACTATGAAACAAACCGTAATTAAATCACAAAAGCTACCTGTCTCTTTTGTTTCACCGGAAATTTGGCCAATTTTTTTTTTTTTCTAACAGAAAGTTCTGCTAATGAAAATTGGAAAATTGGAGACATATGTTAATCTGACTGCGTGTCCTCTGTCATTAAAGATGGAATACACTAGCTGGCTGTGGTCACTCATGCCTATAATCCCACCACTTCAGTAGGCCGAGGTGGGTGGATGGCTTGAGCTCAGGAGTTCGAGACCAGCCATGGCAACCTGGCGAAACCCTGTCTCTGCTAAAAATATAAAAAATGAGCAGGGCGTGGTGGCATGTGCTTGTGGTCTCAGCTACTCAGGAGGCTGAGGTAGGAGGATCACTGGAGCCCAGAAGACAGAGGTTGCAGTGAGCTGAGATCATGCCTCTTCATTACAGCCCAGGCAACAGAGAGTCCTGTCTCAAAAATACAAAACCAAAACCAAAAAGATGGAATATACTGATTTTTACTCTAAACTACAACTTTGAATTAAGTTTTTATTGTGACTTTTAAAAACATCTAGATAGGAGAGATGCTAGAATTTTTAGAAATTCTAGATGAACGGGGAAGTATGCAGTTGAGGACTGGGTTACAGATGTGATTGTGTGGACTTCAGAGGGATCAAGGTGAGTGTGCTGTTGAATTTCTCTGGCCAGAGCACATCTCCTGGAAATTGTTACTTGATTAAACAGTTGCTCAGATGACTCCTAGTTGGTTAGTCAGGGTAGTTGATCGGGGTCATTTAGAGAACAACCCTCTCAGTTGTCTACAGAGTAGCAGTCACCAGCAGCCAGACCAGCAGGTGTGTGGGAAGGTACACAGCCCATCCTGGAGTCCAAGGCGGAGTCAGCAGTGCTCCTTGCCTGCAGTTCAGAAAAGCATGAATGACTGTGCCTAGCATGGTGTGTGTATGCTGTTACCTGCACCCTGTGCCGTCTGAAATTGACAGTGCTTTTCGTCTTCGGTAGTTTGTCCTATTTTTATTTTAAATGCTCTTGGTAAATTTTAACGTCAAGTTGAGATTACTTATGAGTTGGTGGACACTGACTAAGGTAAGTGAAAAGGAAGACAATAAGGAGAAAGAGGTGGGCTGGATCGTCCAGCATCCTGGAAAGCCCTGGGAGAAAGCCTAAGGAAATAGAAAAAGCAAATCTTTAGTTAACAGTTAAACAGACAGAGATCACACCGGAGAAAATGGTGAGACACGTTTTTCCCTTGACTTGTCAATTATTTCATATGGAGGGTGGCTAGTTCATGGCCTGTTTGGTTTTGTTTCTCCCCGTTTGGACAGATGGCAGCCTAATGTATCAGTCAGAAACATAGAACATCCCTGAAGTCTGACCTGCTTGCACTGTAAATAATAAACTAGGTACCTGGAAGGGCTTTGGTGGAGGAGCACTGCACTGGGAGTTAGGGGGTCACGTCTCTGCATGGCCCTGCCCTTCAGTAACGATACAACCTTGGATGTGCCTTTAAATATGCAGGAATCCTCTTTCAGATCTGAAAAGTGAAGGGTGGGAATGTTTCCAGGGCCATTTTACTGTGTAAATTTCTGTGCCAGCGGGTCTTGAGGCTGCCTTTAGTGCCTAAGATCCGGGGCTAGAGGCCAGGCATGGTGGCTCACGCCTGTAATCCCAGCATTTTGGGAGGCCAAGGTGAGCGGATCGCGAGGTCAGGAGTTTGAGACCAGCCTGGCCAACATGGTGAAACCCCATCTCTACTAAAAATAACAAAAATTAGCTGGGTGTGGTGGCACATGTGTGCAATCCCAGCTACTTGGGAGGCTGAGGCAGGAGAACTGCTTGAACCTGGGAGGTGGAGGTTGCAGTGAGCCCAGATTGTGCTACTGTACTCTAGCCTGGGCAACAGAGTGAAGCTCTGTCTCAAAAAAAAAAAAAAAAAAAAAAAAAAAAAATCAGGGATTAGATTTTGGGAAGCCTCCCCTCCATTCAGAGCCCCCTCATTTCCTGAGCTTCTCCGCCTCCATCTCTGTCTCTGTCATGGGCACCCGTCACCGTCATCATACGAGCATCCCCACCCTCACTGCCCTCCTTCAGGTAGCCTAGTGTCTTGCACACAGCAGGTGGCCAATACATTTCTCTTCAATGAATGGATTTTATAGACTCTTTGGAGATCTCTTCTTGCCTTTCTTTCATCCTGGTGAATTTCTGAGATCAGCATGTTGCCTACCATAGCCTAGTACTTATCACACTAATTCTGTAGACCTCTCTTCTGTGGTTAATATTGTAGGTTAAAGAATAAAAAAAAAAGAACTGAAAGAAAAAATAGAAAAAAGAAAAAAAATTGTAGGTTAAATTTCTGTTCATAAAAAATGCAGCCATTAGATTAATGGTTTTTTTTTTTTTGTTGTTGTTGTTGTTAATGCTTTTTTGCAGGGGTCTTGCTCCTCAGAACAAACCAGAATTGCAAAAGGTGATGGAAAAAAGAAAACGAGACCAAGTGATAAAGCAGAAGGAAGAAGAAGCACAGAAGAAGAAATCAGACTTGGAAATAGAGCTATTGAAACGGCAGCAGAAGTTGGAGCAGGTGAGGGGGATTGGCTGGAAGCTGTCTTTTTTTTTTTTTTTTTTTTGTCCTGACGAATGTTGGTGTGTCGGAGCAGGCAGGATTTATCAGACATGTTCGTGTGTACATTTATACCATGAAAGAAATATTGGAGACAAATGTCAGCAAATGGGGTCAAATACGTTCAAGGCAGTGACAAGAATCCTACTGAGGACCTAAAAGAGATCCCAGGGGCAAAAGCAAAACAGGGACATGGCACTGAATTCACACAGTGTGCTGGAGTCATTTAACCAAATTCATCTTCACGAAGACTCCAGAGCAGCTGTGTGTTGACCTGAGGATTTGTTTCCTTAGCTCTGTCTTTTCGGTTCTTGTCATCTTGTGGTCCTATTTGCAGTGGCAACCAAGTGGCTTCTGTTTCTGTGCAGAATTACCCAGACTCTGTCCGTCTATTTTTCTTTAAAAGTGGGGGACCAGGAGGGAATTTCTTCCACGGGGAAGTAAAAAGTTGTCAGGGTCTTTGAAAAGAGAGAGGAGAGTATTTTGAAAGGCTGCTTGGTTTGTCAATAATTTTTCCTTTCCTGAATTTCATTTAGCTTGAACTTGAGAAGCAGAAACTTCAAGAAGAGCAAGAAAATGCCCCCGAGTTTGTGAAGGTGAAAGGCAATCTCAGGAGAACAGGCCAAGAAGTCGCCCAAGCCCAGGAGTCCTAGGCCGAGGCTGCACCAAGACCCCGCATGTCCCTGCTTGTCACCTCACAGAGCTGTCTGTGGGTGCCTCCTCAGTCTCAGGGCAGAAGCCCCTGGAGAACATTCCAGCCAGCAGAGAATCTTGACTTTCAGAGGATTTGGTTTGATTTTCCCCCTCTCTGGGTGGATGCCTTGCTGTGACAGTTGCCGTTCCTATTCGCCAAATGAAGGGCAGCGCCCCGCACATAAGTCGGAATGATGGGCCTGTGTCCATTAGAGACATATCAGAACCAACAAACCAAACAAGGGAGAGGAGGCGGACACTGGAATCCGTTCTTGAGAGTTGCACTACTTGGTTTTTCTTCTAGTCCAAGTTCAGTGGGACCCAGAGCCTTTTTTCTTTTAAAAGCTAAAAAAAAGTGTTTAATTCCTCTTTTTGTTATCTCTTAGGTAATTTAGATCACCTAGAAATGCATTTAATCTGTACACCCACTGTTTGTAATTTTATTTTGAGCATCTAGAATCTTCTTGTTGAATGTATACTTTCACCCATGCTACAGTTACCACCACAGCAGGACCGTTAATGTTGAGCACAGCCACTACCCTCGTTGGCACTAAATTTAGAAGCAGGGTGAGAGGGTTTAAAAGCCTGAAAACACCCATCTTGATTTTACTTTGATTCCTTTTGGTTCTCTATGTGATAACAGCAGACTACATAGTGACATTCCAGTTCCCAGAAGGTACATCCTGTCCGTTTGTTTATTGCTTTGATTACTAGAAGGGTCTTTGTTCAGTTTTATTTTGAAATCTCTTACTGGGCTAGTTCTTGTAGATGGAATAATCTTCCAGTCCTTATAGAGAGTGGAACTAGTCCCTATAACCCAGCTTCAGTAGCAAAAGTAGAAGGCCTCACGTGGTGGGGCCTTTTCATTCTTCCCAGAGGAGTGTGGGGAAGGTTCCCGTGACCATCTGGACAGTGAGGATTTCTCTAGGTATTTGAGTGTGAAATAAGTGTAGATCGGTCTCAAGGAGGCTTCATCAGAAGATTTATAGCATTTGGGTGTCTAATGATAATATTAGAATCCAAGCTTTGAACGTTTCTGACTAATGCTCATTCTTTCTTTGCTTTTTTTCTTGTGAAGAAAGACTGTTTTGCCACTGTCTCAGTGATGGTGCTGTTGACACAGATGATGTCGATGACTACTATATTGCATCTCTCAGGAACAGCCGACAGGAAGGGAGGGGCTGCTGAGTTCCCTCGTTCTAGCTAGCAGCCCACTCCTCCCAGAGGGGGCTGAGTTACAGACAGCAGCAGCATTCTCATGCAGAATTAGTTTTAAACTGCTGGTGTGGGCACCAGTACCTTCTGCCTGATGATATGGAAGAATTTGGGGGGATTTCTTTCTCTCCTTAGAGACAATTCAGCCAGTCATTTCTGCATTGGAGACTCTTATACTTCTTTGGAAAACTCACAGAAAGCTGGATCCAGAGCATTGGAATCCTTCATTAGCATAGTAAAAATTAGCTTTCTATGGCAATGCTTTCATGTTAGCAGTTGACAATTAGGCTCATATTCAATCCGAATGGGAACAAAAGTAAACGCAATGATAACATGCTGCTAGTTAGAGAAGCACGGTCGTTGATTACACCTGAAATGGATTATTTATCTCATCAGCAAGTATTATTTGAATAAAATAAGAGATGCTTAAGAAAAATTGTTGCTCTACAGTAACTTGGTTTCGAAGAATGGAATGATAACTATTTTTTTCTATCGTTCTTCGTTTTGAGAAAAAAAAGTGATGATGGATGGTGTTGAGAAGTCCACTGCTGATTGCACATTGACTAGAGTCCTTCCTCTGGACTAGTGACGCTGTTTGCAAAATGCAGATTCGGGACTGGCTCGTATCTTTTTATCTAACTAGATGTCAGATCTTGAGATCTGTGTTCTTGAAGCAATTCTGCCATGTGATCAAATTCACAAGGGCCCTGACAGGCTCCTTTAGAAGGACCAATTCTGTTCCTAGAACTTAACTAGAATTCATTCTTCACTAAAAAAAAAAAGTTAACTAAAAAAGCTTTTTTTTTTTTCCCTAGTATCCCTCAAATCTGCAGAATTATTTGTAATTCATAATATAAAATATGGCCAAAAGGAGACTTGTAAATAGCGTAAAGTGGTGTCTTATGCTGAATGGTGGAATGTATAGGCAGGGAAGCTCTTTGAAGTTGTCAGATCAGCTGGGCTCACAAGCCTGATTGACACAGACTGTCAGCCTCCTCTCACCCCTTAATACTGTGCAGCGCAAACCCTAGGACTCTTGAACATCCGAGCTTTGTGCTTTGAGCCACTTTTTGACAAAAATGGCTCCATTTGCCCACAGTGTGGTTTTCTTAAAATAGTTCAGTGTTTTATAGTCTCATAGTAGTAGTGTTGCTTTCTAAGCTATAACAGTCGACTTTATTCTTCTACTCTGAAAAAACCTTGACTTGTTTGAGTGTATATAATATATATAAAGGGAGCCTTAATGGATTGCTTTTCATAATTTAATATTTTTTGTATTTGCTCTTGTATAATTGTTTTTAACGGAAAGTATTAAAGAATTGAGGGTGGAATTCTTAGAACCAAAGTTATTCTTAATAAAAATCACCACATGCTTGGACCATGCAGCTATGTTTGTCTGATCTGTTGAAGGTGGGCATCTGGAACTGAACGGGGCAGGGTTCAGTTCAAAGGTGAGAGGTGGGTCCAGGCTCTCCCTTTTGATGACTGTCCTAATTGACAACCTTGCCCCTAAATCGCTTATGTCCAATGTCTTGAGGGAGTCAAGCTGACAGTTCATCATATCAAACAGTCATCAGATATTTATGGCACTGTCAGTTACACTTTGCAATAGACCATATGGCCTGTTGGCAGCAGCAGTCAGTCCTTAGCTCAAAGTATTGTGAATTTTAGGTAGTTTGGTAGGACAGTAGGGGACCTGGTTTGGGAAGGGCCTTTGATGAGTGCGTTTGACCCCAGTACGTATGGCGTGTCTGAAGTGTGATAATGAGGTTTTTTTTTTTTTTTTTGCTTATTCAACTAAATTAATGTTATTCCTCAAAGAAGAGACTTTGGAAAGGTATACACCTGATTGCATTATGCTACTGGTTAAAATACTTTGGAGGTTCAAGTCTTTTTATGATTATGCCTTTTTCAACTGCAAATTATTACTCAGCTTGATCACTCAACTTCTTGTGTCTTTGGACTCTTTTAAACATTGTATCTACTCAGGAGAGTAAACATTTACTACCTCTAAGGTTAGACCATGAACTCTAAAGCCAGTGTAGAAGATAGATTACAAAAATGATTTGAGCAGTAGCTGCATCCTAATAGCTAGGCAGTTTGCCCGCGTGACCGTGTTGAGGCTGTCAATCCATTTAATTGGACCATTACCTCTGTGTGTGTGTGGCGGGGGGAGGGGGTGGGTTGGTGGGTGTGTTTTACAGTAGTATTGGTAGTACAGTTGAAAGAAGACAGGGCAATTATAGACTTTAGTAAGATTTAAAATACTAGAAGTATTAAAATACTACTACCCGGCATACATTTTCTAGTATAATAAGAAATGAAGTATTTTACCTCCAGGGTCTTCAGATTAATAACATCTTTACGAGCTAGCCTAACAATCACAGTTTCTACTTTTTTGTCTCATGAGAAAATGTAGTCTCCTTGTCAATTGGGGATCCTCTGAATATCTTCCCAGATGCTCCTAGATTTTTTAGCAAGATAATTACCACCGTGGTACCAACAACACTCGCTTATTTATTGAAAGTGTGTTTACTTCTGTTGCAGGGCTGCCACTCCTGGACCCCCTCAATCTATTATCTGTGCGTGTGTGTCTAAGTGTAAATACAGATGCACACATTTGTATTGATGTTTATTTTTACATCTATATTTATAGAACATCATGAGGTCACATTGCTTCCTCCACTTCCATCCTGGTGGTATGTTATTTTTCCCCTTGCCGAAATTGTCACTCCCTCCTCCAGCAGGGACAACCCTGGCTTTCATTTATTTATTTTCTCAATCCCCTGGCCTTCCTCGTCCACCTTCACCACCCAGTCACTGCCTAGTGGCTTTTTGACTGAACTAGGAAGGAAGGAAGAAAGAAAACGAAGAGCAATTTTTCTTGAGCATTTAAACACGTATTGTGAATTAATTAAATCCCTTCAAACAGCCTAAAGTGCAACTACAGATTGAGAATATCTGATTGTTTGAAACCTTATAAACTCCTTAAACAATATATTGACTATACTTGAACACAATGGTTAGCACATTTTGAAAATAACTTACATACACCCATTTTTAAAAGCAAGCTTTGTGTCCATTATTGTTTTTGAGATAGAATCTCTCTGTTACCCAGGCTAGAGTGCAATGGTGTGATCATAGCTCACTGCAGCCTTGACTGCCTGGGTCAACCTATCCTCTCGCCTCAGCCTCCCAAGTAGCTGGAACTACGGGTGCACGCCACCATGCCTGCTAACTATTTTTTTTTTTGTAGAGAAGGTCACCCTGTGTTGCCCAGACTGGTCTGGAACTCCTGGCCTGAAGTGATCCTCCTACCTTGGCCTCCCAACACACTGGGATTACAAGCATGAGCCACCATGCTTGGCCATTTGTCCATTAGTTTTATACTTTTAAAAGCACTTTCCTACTACGGCTGTATTTATTTTCGTATTCTCCTAGGTATTCACTTATACTCTACCTCCTGGGCTTGCAGTGATTTTATCAAGATTAAAAGGAAAGAAATACCCACTTACGCTCACTTATGAGCAAGATATGGGTTGTTGACTGATTATTAAAACAGAGGGCCTGGCAGCACAGTTTAAGCCGCCGCAATCATGGGCCACGGGCCCTGGATAAAGTCCTCTGTTACAATTAATTCTTCCTTGCTTTGTAATGGAATTTTTAATATCTTGCCATTTCTTCTTTCATTTTGGAAACTTGGTGTCCCTCCCAGAAATGGTGCGTGCTTTCATTTTGCATGGCCTGACCTCATTGTCTTTCCTTTATGATCTATTGATCTTGTCCATTAGTGTTATTGAAAACTTACGTATGCCTTCTTAATATCTCACATAACTAGGATCATTTGGAGATTTTTGGCTAGTAAGAATCATCAAGTCTGTGTGGTGAACTCTTGTTTCTGGGATATTTGGCTATTTATTATCTTTGGTCATAACTGCTGGATTCTCTTTAATCTGTGATCCTATATGATCAAGTGGACTCCTTTATTTGTGTTTATTATATATGACCGCTGATGATGATTTTGTTTTATGTTTTTTTGAGACAGAGTCTCAGGATTCTGTCGCCCAGGCTGGAGTGCAGTGGTGCGATCTTGGCTTACTGCAGCCTTGACCTCCCAGGCTCAAGCGATCCTTCCATCTCAGCCTCCCAGATAGCTGAGACTACAGGCATGCACCACCATGCCTGCGTAATTTTTTAAAAGTTTTTTGAAGAGACAGGGTCTCATTATGTTACAGCCCAGGTTGCTCTTGAACTCCTGGCCTCAAGTGATCCTCCTTCCTCAGCCTCCTGACAGGTGTGTGCCCCTGCGCTTGGCTTCTTTTGTCTTTTTCTGCTATGTTTTTCCAGTTTATCCTATGATTTTGTTTATTCTTTCCTGTGAGCATTGCTAGAAACAAACATACCTATGGTTTACGAACATGTGTATTCTTCATACAGCAAACAAAACGTTCATACATATATGAATAGTCCCTTAGCCGTACCCTATAATCATCTTAATTTTATATTAGAACTCCTTTTTCTTTTGGAGTCTCTATGAATGTGTGGCCCTTTAGAAACTCAAATTATTTTTTCATCTCCTTTTTCAGACACTCAGAATATTACAGCTTGGCTGGAAGCCCTTCAAGCTTATTCTTTTGTTTTTGACACGACAGCATTCTTACTTTGTTACAACAGTAGGGTGTTGGGGGCCATCCTATTTTTTTTTTTTTTTTTTATTCTGACAAGATATAGGACTGTGTGCCTTTCAAGGAGGCCTTACTTATTTATTTTTTTGGATGAAGAATAGAAACACATGATCTGGCTCTAGAAGTACACAAGAAAGTTGCTAGTGGACAGAAGTTTCCTTGCGCTTGCAGTAATGACAGAGCTAAAAAAGGTAAAATCATCATTGTTTTCTCATTTTAACTCTTCATGTGGTTCTACCTTATTTTTCTTATAGTATGAGGTCTTGTTAAACCAGAAATATTTTCATTACACTTATAAAGATTAGTTGAGATATTTTCCTTACAGATAAGAGTTATGAAAGGGACTTTTCCAGACCGGATACCAAAACACACCTTCAAGCAATAGCAATTTTAATGGGACCAATGTTGGCTCAGAGAAGACAAATTGATCAATGGAGTGGCATACAAAGTCCAGAAAAAGACTGATTTGCATGTTGAAATTGACAATGATAGAGGCAGAGTTTTATTTCAGATCAGTTAGGAAAGGATAACCAATTCAGTGAAAAGTTTGGGGCGGCCGGGCGTAGTGGCTCACGCCTGTAATCCAAGCACTTTGGAGGCCAAGGCGGGTGGATCACCTGAGGTCCGGAGTTCAAGACCAGCCTGACCAACATGGTGAAACCCCGTCTTTAGTAAAAAAAAAAAAAAAAAGAAAAAGAAAAGAAAGAAAATTTTGGGGGCAATTGGAATGAAACAAATATATATTCTTTTGTGTAAGAATAATTTCCAGGTTTATTAGTGTTCAGCATAAAAGCAAAACTGTAGAATTATTAGAAGAAAATACAAGGAAATGTTTCTATAATCCTAGGGTTGAAGGAAGCTTTCCTAAGCATAACATTTAGCCCAAAATCCATACTGAAGAAAACTGACAGATTTAACCAGTGCAAATTAAATGCTTTTGTACAAAATATAAGACAAGTTAAATGTCACAGACTAAGGCATATTACATATACAGCAATATCTGGATTACATACCTAATGTCTGTAAATGTCAATCTAGTAAAAAAAAAAAAAGTATATGAACAGGCAGTTCACAGAAAATGAAATTAAAATGGTCCATCAACATATGAAGTCATGTTCACTCACTACTGTCAGGAAAATGCAAACTAAAACAACAATGAGGTAACTTCACACGAATATTCACAAGGCAACAATTTAAAAGACTGATAATAGCTATGGTTGGTGAGGACGTAGAGAAGCAAGTATTATATATACAACATCAGGGGAAGTGCAAATTAGTAAAGCCAATTTAAAAACATATTTTCACACCCTCTAGAATAGATATAACAAAAAAAGATAGACAATAACAAATGTTGACTAGGATGTGGAGAAATTAAATGCCTTGTTTCATTGCTGGTGAAATGTAAAACGGCGTAGGCACTTTGGAAATGTTTGATAGTTTCTTAAGGAGTTAAACATAGATATAGCATATGACCCAGCAATCCTGCTCCTAAGTGTTTACCCAAGAGAAAGGAAAATATATACCCACACACAGAGTCTTGCACACAAATGTTTACAGCAAGATTATTTATAATAAAGTGTGGAAGAAACCCAAACATCCATGAATTGATAAATGGATATGCAAATATGGTATGGCCACACAGTAGAATATTATTCAGCCATAAAAAGAAATAAAGCACTGATAAATGCTACAACATGGAT